CACACACACACACACACACACACACCTTTCTTTTACGTAGGATGTACAGGTGGTGTGGGATAAAGGTCACAGACAATAATGCAAATTTGAGAGGAGTTAGCAAAAAGCAGGCAGTCACAGCTTTGATGAGTTTGCTGAACCAGAGTATAAAGAAATACCAAGGTCAGGCACCGTGAGGGGAGAGGGGGAAAGAGGAGCCAAGGGTGGGCTCAGAGCATTCACCCCACCATGGCATGGGCAGGCACAGGGTTGCTCGTGCAAGGAAGTTTCCAGTGGAACTGCACGTTATAAGTGTCTCTCTGTTCAGATGCCTGGTCCACATTTTTTCCTCCTGTTATCTGTCAAGCATCTTTGGAGGATGCTAAAAGATAACTGCTTTGAGACTTATAAAGAGCAAGGTTTTGGCTTGTACCTTATTCTTGGACATCGGTAGTAAATTTTATTAAATGAACGTCCTTTGGAAAGGGTTAGTGAATTCTTTTTTTTGAGATGGTTCAGGCCGGCCTTGAACTCACTATGTAGCCCAGGCTGGCCTTGTGAGTTAAAGAGTTAAAAATAGCCAACCAGGGAAGGAAAAATGGGTAATCTTTATCTAATTGTACTGAACAGTACATGAAAATTCAGTGCATCTCTGGAAACTGCTAGCAAGCAATTATTTCCAAAATATGATTCCTATTCAGATTTATGGAGGTGGTTAAATGTCCACCACCTTCAAGATCACCATGGTCACTTCAGTCTCAAGAAACAGCAGGACAGCAGGTGCAGGGGCCCATGCCTGTCATCCCAGGACTCGAAGAGGGTGAAGCAGGAAGAGCTCAAGTTCCAGCCCTGCCTGAGCAACTTAGGGACTTATAAAATTCCTCTCTCAAGATAAAAAATAAGAAAAGCCTAGGGGTGTAGCTTAGTGCAAAGACCCTGAATTTAATCCCTAGTACTGGAAAAAAAAAGAAAACAACCAGGAAACAGGAAAGGAAAGCCATGAGAGTGTGGCCTGTCAAGTCATCTGAGCTTGGGGGGTCTATGATATTGGTTTTTTGTTTTGTTTTTTGTTTTTTGTTTTTTGTTTTTTTTATACTGGGAATCAAACTCAGTACCTTGTGCTTACCAGGCAGGCACTTGTGCCACCGAGCCATACCCTCAACCCAGGTCTATGATATTGCAGGGGACATAATCCAGGGGCCTCAGAAATAGGGCATATGTGCTCTGACCTTTTGTGTTAGCTACTTAAAATGAAACATCTTCCCGTCCACAAATTTCTTCTCCCTTTACCTTCCTGACACTAACACTACCATTCCTCAAGTTGTCCTCCTCAGGGTACAGGCTCCATGGCCTGCTCCCTATATATAGCCCAGAAGCTCTGACTTTTGAAGGCACCCTCATGATATAGCCAATGGGTGCTGGGACCCCAACCTTATATCACACATTTCCAGGCCCCACCTCCATGAATCCATCTCTGCAGCGAAGCTGGGTGCAGAAAAGGTTCTCACATTAGCCGGCCTGTCACCACTGCCCATGAGCAAGTTGCACCGTGAATGTTCAGAACGGCAAATCCCTGCACCAGCTGATTTTCCACACACTCAGTCCCAGGGTGGCATGTGTATGCAGACTTCCACTATTAAGGGCAAGAAGAAAATAAAACACCATGGCACCGTTGCTTTTTAAGTGATACAGCTCACAGCAGCACACACAGGTAGACAAGCAGCTCTCATTCCCTAAATCTGACACAACAGAGAAGAGGCAGCTATTAATTAAGTTACCCAGTCCGGACTGGGCTAGGCGCTGGCTTTTCTCCTCTATTCCTTTTCCCCAGCCTTGGAGATGTTGGGGCCCCACGGCTGGTCAGGAAGGAAAGAGAACGGTCACTCTGTCACATAGCAGTCACACTTGAATTTCCGCAGGTCTTTGGGTCCTCACGGTGCCTGGTTTCTGCACCATCCCTAACTCCCCTCACTGAACTAGATCACTTCCGCAGCAGGGCTGCAGGGAGCAAGCCATGGGGCCTGAGCCCTGAGAAGGACAACCTGAGGAATGGTAGTATTAGTGTCAGGAAGGTAAAGGGAGAAGAAATTTGTGGACAGGATGTACAGAGGAGCTTAATGATTTTAAAACAAAGCAAAGCATTCTCTATGGGCCATGCCATTTGTAGGACATTTCCTTGTCCTTCCTCCTCTCTCCTGGGGCACGTGTGTGTGTGTGTGTGTGTGTGTGTGTGGCTGCACACACATGCGTGCATGTATGTGATCTATCATGTACTCTCACATAAACACACAGTCTTTGGGGACACACAAGCAAGTGAGCCCAGAGGTTTGTGGCATTACTAGGCAGAGGTATAAGGTCCTATAGAGCACCAAATGCTTCCAAAATGCTACGCAATGAGATGTTTCTCAAAAGGGCCCCCATGCCTTCAGTATTTTACATGAATTCCATCTCAAGCAGCTTTACACAGCCATTATTACTTCATTACCAACGTAAATCTCACTAGTAACTTCCACAACTTCATTTGCAAATGAACAGCACACCTCCTAAATCACTCCCTCTTTTCGCTCTGCCCCCATTAGGCATTAGTCCCCGGCTGGGATTTGCAGACCCCCTTCCCATGTGGTCCTGGCCTGGTGTCTCCTGCTCCCTCGAGCCCACAGGTGCTGCCGGTCCTGGGACCAACACACACACACTCTCACACACCCGTAGGCCAGACGCTGACTGGGTTGCTTGAGAGACTCAAGACCACGGTGACATCCTTACTGATCCAAGGCCCAGTCTCCAGTATGCACCTGGCTTTGGCTTTCCTGGCCAAGTTCCCAAGGAGCCAGTGGGACCAGAGACAGCTAGCGGGCAAGGTCAAGGGACGTGGCACAAACTGGATGTAGGGCAGGGCCTCAGGTCTGGCTACTTACTGCGCCGCCGGTCCTGTCGCCCACCCAGGGCTCTCGGCAGTGTGGTGGGAGGCCGGCTGAATCGCGTTCTGGCTGTTTCCCTGCTGGTTTTTCTCCTGTTTTCCCCCTTAGTGCTGCTAAGAGACAAACTGAGTCTGAGCTAATTACTTTGGGTCCCCTATGGCTTTTTACAGGCTTAAAATAATATATACCAATCTCATCCTTTACAGAACGGATTAACAATATCTACTGTATTTAGTTAGGGCCTCTGTCTGAGTTCTGAAATCTTGCTCTTCTTTGTAGCTTGCAGCTCACAGAAAATGCTCTAAGAGGCCCACACATTACTTAGAGGGTTCAGCTAATGCCCTCTCAGTCCCTTCAGACTCCACGAGGTTCCGTGAGCCAGTGAAACGCTTGGGTAAGGGAAAACAAGGCCAGTCTCCGAAGTCAAACACAATTGTCTTAACATGCACATTTGCTGTGTGACTTTGGGCTCACTGCTTAACCTCTCTGAGCCTAGGTTCTTCACCTGAAAACCTGGGCCAGTGCCAACTGCCAAGTTGCTTCCATGAGTACTGAGTGAAAAACTACTTATATACATAGGAAGTGACAAAGTAACTTGAATACTAGGTTCTCCTTTATTTTTTTAAGTCCATACAAGCCTCTGATGGGTCAAAAGTGTAAACCATCATAAATTTGAATGTTGCCATTTCTGTCTTCACTTTCGGGATCACACTTCAAAGAGAAAAAGAAGGAAATAAAGACTGTCAGTGGCCCTGTTAAAAGCATCAGCACCCACTGAAACGCAATTTCCCCTCAAAAACTAACTAATTAATTATCCATCACTGTTGGACCTGGAAATAAGAGCAGGGCTCACTGCTCAGATCTGGACTTGACGTCGGCCACGTCCTGGTGTCTGTGTGGCGCACCCAGATCTGCGACTGCGGCGCAGGGCGGCGGGGTGAGGGTGCACACTGCCGGCGGCGCGCGATGCCCCGGGGTGAGCGTGCGCTCCTTTCTCCACTCCGCACTGCATTTCTGGCGGATTACTTCACGGCATGGGTGGCCCGAGTCTCCGGCCTCCCGCCTCCCCGCTCCTTCCAGCGCTCTGGGCAAGCAATAACCACTCCAAATGCAAGACTTTCTTTCATGCCCCAGCGGCCTAAGCAACTCATTAACTCTCCAGGGCTGAGGTTTGAAATTACTTAAAAACCTCACACCCCACCGAGCCAGCGCCGAGCGCCGGAAGGAGGGCGTCCGCCAGGAACGCGCAGGCACGACAAACAGGCCTGAGACGCCCCCGCCCCGCGGCGCGCACACGACTGCTCCCAGACGCTCCAGCCCTGCGCCCGCGAGGACGAGTGGCCCGGGTGGGCTGCAGGGCGTGGCGCGCTGCGGACGTGTCCCCAGGAGGGCGGCGAGCAAAGGACAGCTGCGCACTGTCACCCGCGTCTCCCAAAATGCGCTTTCTGGGCGCTGGGCCGGACACGCCGCCGCGACACCTTTCCCGAGCCCCGCCCCGCGCCCCTGCTCTGCGGGTTCCGCGCGCCATCTGGTGGCCGCGAGCTGCCATTGCAGCTCATCCGGGCTCCCACCCGTGGATGGAGAAGTCAGAGGAGCCCACGGTGGGCTTCTAAATTCTGTTGGAAAAGATGGTACAGCCCTAAAGGAAGACACTGAGCGCCGCCAGATGCTCTGAATTCCGTTCTTTTGTATGTTTTTTTTTTTCTCCGTACCGGGAATCAAACTCACGTCCTTGCATTTGCCAAGCAGGCACTGTGCCACTGAGCTAAACCCCCAGCCCTGAATTTCGTTCTTTATTCTATGGCTAGATACTTGCCGCCTTGGGTTCTCCCAAACAGGGACAATTGTCCTTCCTTCAAGACTGGCCTTCCCATGACAGCTCTCAGCAGTCCTCAGCCCACTCCATGACCTGAGGACGCTGGACGCCTGAGCGCAGGCGTCTCCCAGCCCCTGCCTGGAGCGCACCTGTGTTCTCTCCCCAGCTTTCCCAGGGCTGGGTCCTCGGAATATCCACCTTGTCATCTTTCATACCAACGTTCCAGAGTGTGTTCCAAGCCTACTGCTTTATTCGTCAACACTGCATCTTTAAAAAGGGACTCAAAGTTTGGAGGATTCAGGTCAAAATAGATCTACCTGCAGCACATCTCAAGAGCTTCTGACACACAGAGGGCATCGTGGGTTTCTAAGAAGGAATGATGGTTCGCGATCATTTCTGAGCTACCTGACATTAAACCTTTCCCCCTTCTCCACCTTTGAAGTGCGGCTTGAAGATGCTGCACTCGATAAAACAATTTTAGGGGGATTGGTCTACCCTACTCAACTGACCCGTGCTTACAGAGCTGTCTTCCCAAAACTAGACAACATCTATTCTGGTCTTTGAAGACTGCTGGAACAAACTACCAGCCAGTGCGCTTTACACAGCAGAAGTTCATTTCCTCACAGTTGTGAAAACCGGAAGTCTGAGGTCAAGGTGTTCTCAGATTTGGTGTCTTCTCAGGCCGCTTTCCTTGGCTCCTAGCCACTGGTCTTCCCTCTGTGACTGTGCCTTGACCATCACTAATTCTGAGGACACCAGTCCTGCTGGGTTAGGGCCTGATGACCTCGTTTCACTTTAATCATCTTTGTAAGGCCTGATAGCTGACCACAGTTGTCTTCTGAGATAGAAGTTAGGGCTTCAGCAGGCAAGTCTGAGGGAGACACAATTCAGCCCAGCTCGTCTTACTTTTGGATTTGCTGGGGCTTCAGTGGAAAATTACCCATTGTTTAGAGCAGGCAAACTACAGCCACTGAGTGAGATGCAGCCTGGCACCTGTGTTTGCAAATAAGTTTTATTGGCACAGCTACATATATTCCTTCATATATTGTCTAGCTACTTTTACATCCAGTGGCAGAATTAAAAAGTGGTAACAACAGCCACATGCCCTGCAAAGCTGGAAATACCAAATGGCCCTTGATGGAAAATGTCGTGGGCCCCTTGTCTAGGGCAACCTTTCAGGGTTATCTAATTGTGACCCTAGCGGGGCTCTGCACCTGTCATTGGCTTTCAGCCACATCACAATGGAGATGGTAGGAGCTGTGCCACGTAACCCGGGCCCATAGACCAGTTTTGCCTCAACTCGCTCATTCTCTCCAATGTCCTCCACCAATAAAGTTCTTTTCCTTAGATTCTGCTCTAAACTGATTACAACATTTTAGATGCCCTCATTAATAATGAGAATTTGTTTTAGACCTGTGTAAGACTCATAATTTTACCTCATTTTGAAAATTACCCTTTCACATATTAATGTTAGATTTCTTAAGAAGTGTGATAATGGCGCTGAAATTATGCAGAACACAATAGTTTTTTCTTTTAGAAAATACACCCTGAGGGGCTGGGGATTTAGCTCAGCGGCAAAAGCGCCTGACTGGCAAGCGCAAGGTCGTGAGTTCGGTTCCCGGTACCGGAGAAACACCAAAAAAAAAAAAAAAACAAAGAAAATACACCCTGAAACACTTAGCGTCATGATGCCGTGATTTCCTTTCCAGCAGCTCAGCGAACATGAATATGTAAGTGTGTACGTGTTTGTTGTCCACACACTCACACGAACACCACAGCTTGGGGGACAGAGACAAGGAGAAGGGGAAGAGTAAAATATGAACGACTAGGGAATCCAGGTGAAGCCCCTGAGGCCTCTGAATGGTGGGCTATTCATTCAGCTTTTTTGTAGGTCTGACAATTTTCAAAATAAAAACTTGTGTCATATTCCCAGCTGGGCACACAGCTGTTCTGCATCCTGTGCTTCTGGATATTTCTTCAGTACTTAAGAGAGGAACAGTTACAGATGTGTGTTAGCCTTTCATAGTGGGTACTACAAATAAGAGTGAACAAAGCACTGACGCTTCTATTGTGAAGCATCTCTGTCTCTCCTAGAGGCATTATTTTTCTTTCTTTCTTTCTTT